TCGCGAAATGGCGGAGTTGACAGAGGCAGACGCCATCTTGGGCCCGCTTCAGATTTTCAAATATTAATATCTAGAGTTCAGATTAACCAATATTCAAACAACTTATATAGTAAGCATCAATAGAAAGGTCTCTATTAGTATTCCAAAAATAAATAAAAAATATTGAAAATCAAAAAAGTTAGAAAATACAATTTTTTAAATTCGTTTCTCCTAACGACAGGAAGTAACGACGACGAACGAAAGGTCGCGTCCTGGATAGTATATATCACGATCTATAATCCCTGAAAGTTTCACATTTATATCTTCTACCGTTCTTGAGATTAACCGTAGACAAAATGTCATTTTAAAATCAGAAAATGTCCCGTAACTTGGCACCAGAAGCGAATTTTCAAAAAATCTCTCGGAAAAAATAACTTCAGATGATAACACATAATTTCTGTAAATTTCATGAAAATCCACCCAGTAGTCTTCGAGAAATCGCGTGCACAAAATTCGGTGTACGGAAAAATAATAATAATAATAATAAGAAACAATAGAATCACTATAAGGTCTTCCGTGAAGACGGAAGACCTTAATAATCTTTACCAACAGAATCAGTAGAAGGTCTTCCGTTGGAAACGGAAGACCTTAATAAAGGCATTGGTAATTGCAAAGTATTAAAGTTTTGTATTAGGTTCTGTCTTTGCATACAGTATTTTGGACAATTCATAAAAAAGTGGTATGATGTTTCTGAACTAGACCCGCACATGTCACAACTTTTATCTTCCTTTAAAAAATGATTAAATAAGTCAGCATTTAAATTACTAGCATTATTTCGCAACTGACAATGCAATATATTCATTTTACGACTTCCATAATTGTAATATTTCTTAGGTTTTATGCAGTATATATTCTTTATGGCAGTCTTGAATGATGTAAGTGAAGAAAGGTTTCGGATATTAAATGGTAAATCATTCCAAAGTCTTATAGTTGAAGGGAGGAAACTTTTCATAAATGAAGTTGTTTTGGCTTGTGGAATATGAAATGTAAGATTGTCCTGATTCCTTAAGGGATAAGAATTATCTGGAAGAATGCATTGTTGTAATAGATCTTGCAAATACTGGGGTGCTAATCCATACACTATTTTATAAAATAACACTAGTTTATGTATTTTTCTTCTTATTTCAAGAGTATCCCAGCCAAGCTCTTCTTATTTTTTCTTGTCTTTTATTAGCTCACTGAGCCAAAGGCTCCAGTGAGCTTTTATGATCAGACACATTTGTCTGTCGTCTGTCTAGCTGTCTGTCTGTCTGTCCGTCTGTAAACTTTTCACATTTTCGACTTCTTCCAAGAACCACTGGACCAATTTCAACCAAACTTGCCACAAAGTATTCTTGGGTAAAGGGGATTCAAGTTTGTTCCAATGAAGGGCCACACCTCATTCCAAGGGGAGACAATTAAAAATTAAAGAAAAATTAATGGCATCTTTCAAAAATCATCTTCTCAAGAACCACTTGGCCAGGAAAGATGAAACTTATGTGGAAACATCCTCAGGTAGTGTAGATTCAAGTTTGTGCAAATCATGACCCCAAGGGGTAGAGCGGGGCCACAATAGAGGATCAAAGTTTTATATAGGAATATATAGGAAAAATCTTTAAAATTCTTCCTGTTGAGAACGGCAAAGCCATGATCGGTCATATTTATTTGAAAATATCCTCAGGTAGTGTAGATTCAAGATTGTTCAAATAATGACCCCTGGGGGTAGGGCGGGGCAACAATGCACGATCAAAGTTTTACATAGGAATATATATATAGGAAAAATCTTTAAAAATCTTCTTCTTGAGAACAGCAAAGCCATGATCGGTCATATTTATATGAAAACATCCTCAGGCAGTGTAGATTCAAGATTGTTCAAATCATGACCTCCAGGGGTAGGGCGGGGCCACAATGAACGATCAAAGTTTTACATAGGAATATGTAGGAAAAATCTTTAAAAACCTTCTTTTTGAGAACAGCAAAGCCATGATTGGTCATATTTATATGGAAGCATCCTCAGGTAGTGTAGATTCAAGATTGTTCAACCCCAGGGGTACGGCTGGGCCACAATGGAGGACCAAAGTTTGCATAGGTAGTGTAGATTCAAGATTGTTTAAATCATGACCCTCGGGGGGTAGGGCGGGGCCACAATAGAGGATCAAAGTTTTACATAGGAATATATAGGAAAAATCTTTAAAAACCTTCTTTTTGAGAACAGCAAAGCCATAATTGGTCATATTTATATGGAAGCATCCTCAGGTAGTGTAGATTCAAGATTGTTCAAATCATGACCCCCAGGGGTACGGCTGGGCCACAATGGAGGACCAAAGTTTGCATAGGAGTATATAGGAAAAATCTTCTCAAGAACAGCAAAGTCATGAATGGTCTTGTTTATATTGAAGCATCCTCAGGTAGTTTAGATACAGATTTGTTAAAATCATGACCCCCAGGGTTGGGTGGGACCACAATAAAAGTTTAACTTATAGGGAAGAAAGCCACACTTAGTCAAAAAAATATGTAAGCATCCTTAGTTAGTGTAGATTCAAGTTTGCACAGATACTTGTTTGTTCAAATCATACCCTCCTTTTTTTAGCTCACCTGAGCCAAAGGCTCAAGTGAGCTTTTCTGATCACATTTTGTCCGTCGTCCGTCCGTCCGTCTGTCTGTCTGTCCGTCTGTAAACTTTTCACATTTTCGACTTCTTCTCAAAAACCAATGGGCCAATTTTAACCAAACTTGGTACAAAGCATCCTTGGGTGAAGGGGAGTTTAAATTGTTAAAATAAAGGGCCAAGTCCCCTCACAAGGGGAGATAATCAAGAAAAGACAAAAATAGGGTGGGGTCACTAAAAAATCTTCTCAAGAACCACTGGGCCAGGAAAGCTGAAACATATGTGGAAGCATCCTTGGGTAGTGTAGATATTAAATTGTTAAAATCATGACCCCTGGGGGTAGGGCGGGGCCACAATAGGGATTCCAAGTTTTACATAGAAATATATATAGAACAAATCTTTAAAAATCTTCTTCTGAAGAACCACTGGACCAGGAAAGCTGAAACTTATAAACGAGCATCCTTGGGTAGTGTAGATATTAAATTATTAAAATCATGACTCCGGGGGGTAGGGCGGGGCCACAATAGGGAATCCAAGTTTTACATAGAAATATATAGAACAAATCTTTAAAAACTTCTTCTCAAGAACCACTGGGCCAGGAAAGCTGAAACTAATGTGGAAGCATCCTTGGGTAGTGTAGATATTAAATTGTTACAATCATGACCCCCGGGGGTAGGGCGGGGCCACAATAGGGAATCCAAGTTTTACATAGAAATATAATAGAACAAATCTTTAAAAATCTTCTTCTCAAGAACCACTGGGTCAGGAAAGCTGAAACTTATGTGGAAGCATCCTTACGTAGTGTAGATATTAAATTGTTAAAATCCTGACCCCCGGGGGTAGGGCGGGGCCACAATAGGGAATCCAAGTTTTACTTAGAAATATATAGAACAAATCTTTAAAAATCTTCTTCTCAAGAACCTGGACTGGGCCAGGAAAGCTGAAACTTATGTGGAAGCATCCTTGGGTAGTGTAGATATTAAATTGTTAAAATCATGACCCCCGGGGGTAGGGCGGGGCCACAATAGGGAATCCAAGTTTTACATAGAAATATATAGAACAAATCTTTAAAAATCTTCTTCTCAAGAACCACTGGGCCAGGAAAGCTGAAACTTATGTGGAAGCATCCTTGGGTAATGTAGATATTAAATTATTAACATCATGACCCCCGGGGGTAGGGCGGGGCCACAATCGGGAATCCAAGTTTTACATAGAAATATATAGAACAAATCTTTAAAAATCTTCTTCTCAAGAACCACTGGGCCAGGAAAGCTGAAACATATGTGGAAGCATCCTTGGGTAGTGTAGATATTAAATTGTTAAAATCATGACCCCTGGGGGTAGGGTGGGGCCACAATAGGGATTCCAAGTTTTACATAGAAATATATATAGAACAAATCTTTAAAAATCTTCTTCTGAAGAACCACTGGGCCAGGAAAGCTGAAACTTATGTGGAAGCATCCTTGGGTAGTGTAGATATTAAATTGTTACAATCATGACCCCGGGGGTAGGGCGGGGCCACAATAGGGAATCCAAGTTTTACTTAGAAATATATAGAACAAATCTTTAAAAATCTTCTTCTCAAGAACCACTGGGCCAGGAAAGCTGAAACTTATGTAGAAGCATCCTTGGGTAGTGTAGATATTAAATTGTTAAAATCATGACCCCCAGGGGTAGGGCGGGACCACAATAGGGATTCCAAGTTTTACATAGAAATATATAGAACAAATCTTTAAAAATCTTCTTCTCAAGAACCACTGGGTCAGGAAAGCTGAAACTTATGTGGAAGCATCCTGGGGTAGTGTAGATTCTAAAGTTTTCAAATCATAAAAGGGAAGGGGGTAGTGGGGCATGATAGGACTATACCAAGAGGGGAAATCTGGTAAAGAACTGCATCACCAAAGTTACTCAGGTGAGCGATGTGGCCCATGGGCCTCTTGTTTTTGATTGGGACCACTTAGGCATTTACTGTGCAGAATTGATTTTTTCCTAGCCACAGTGCTCAGGTGAGCGATGTGGCCCATGGGCCTCTTGCTTTGCATACATTTTTCTTTCTAATTTTTAAATAATCATGTTCCAACTACAATCCTTTCTGATGGAAAAATTCAACAATTTTCCCCATTGAGTAAATTCAATCCAAGATATTTTTGGGAGGTACATCTAGTCCAAGATTCAACATTATTTTTTACTAACATTACAAATGCAAAAATTGGTATGAAAATTTTATTAGGATTCAATCCATTATTGATCTATGAGATCCTGTTGATCACATATAATTAAAGTGGGGGTATGTCTAGATCAACACATGAGATGGTTGTTGGAAAATGTAATGCTAGCATAAAAAAAGCCTGTTAATAATCAAAATATCACTCACCCTGTGTTGGGCTTGCTTGATTTCCGGTTCTACATGACTCACTAAGAGGCTTCCTCCATCATCATACATTGTATAAAACCTTAATTTCTTAACATCAACCTGCAATATCAAAGTCATTTCATCACAACAAATTAATTAAATTTGTCCCAAAATTCTGTCCTTTAGCATAAACAGCAATTTGTTTTTCTTCACCGACTTTATTTAGTTTCTATAAACTTTAAATGTCAGCAAAAACACAGTTTCTTCATCAATGTCTGACATAATTAATTTGTCAATTAATTGATATTTTTAAAGGACATCATAAAACGGCAATCATGACCTTTTCATCTAATTTGGCTAGCTGTGCCTCTGGTCCAGACATGACCTTGAGGAGAGGTAAAAGGTCAGTGGCATATCTACACATTGGTCCTGTAGTCAATAGCTCCATATCTCGCCCAGTTGGCAGTGGAAATTGGTCCTCATTGGGAACTAACCCTATCAAATTAAAACACCATATTTCTACTGATTTATACAGCTTAAAAGTTAAAAAATGTCAGGTCAGAAAAATTTAAATGCTGATGACATGCAAAAATTTGAAGAAAGATTTTGGAATTACTCTAACTTTGTTACCAACTGATGGTTTATGGCCAAATATTCCATTGAAGAAGCTGGGCATTCTGATACTTCCTCCAATATCAGACCCCAGGCCAGTTACAGCAGCCCCCGAGGCAACAGCACACCCCTCCCCACCTAAAACAAGGAAAAATTTCACTAATTTACAATATAACAGCACACCCCTACCCATCTATAACAAGGAAAAACATAACTAATGCAAATAAAATAGCACACTCTATCCCAACTATAACAAGAAAAAATATCATTTATTTAAATTTTAAATCATTATTTACTTTCTCCACAATAACTAGCAAAGGGAGAAAAACAATATCATGAAATCAGAATTTCAGTTGTCATGCAAATGTTAAACACTTCATATGAAAAAGTCCTTAACTAAAAACTGAAAAGGGCACTTTTCTATAACTTTAATAAGAAAAAAAATATATGCTATTTAAATAAATGCAACAATACTAATATTGCTGATCTTGGTGTATAAGACCGATACAGAGTTTTTTAAAGAAAAGGGTTTTATTAATTATTCCATATATAAGCACCTGAGCTTCCCCCCACTATCCTTGCTGTGTTGTATGGGTTACACGTCCGGCCATTCAGTCTGTTGGCTGACTCGTACCACATACACAGTTCGCTGACATTGGTTACCATATAAGGAATCATCCCAGCCTGCCTCAAGCGCTTGACAACAGGGGCATCTTCTGAAGCTTTATAGTCCTTCATGATCATTAACCCTGATGTTTGGGGCATTCCTGCAATACAGTATAAATAACACTATCTGGGTATCCCTCTAATATGTTATCAATTCTGAATCAAAGGGAATCCCTTTTATACTGGTATGTATAAATATCATAAAACTGGATGTTTTTAGTAACCCGTTATAACATTTACCTTGTGTCTGACTGTATGTAGAATATCATTTTTTTAAGCAAGGTGCACAGTGACATGCATTCATTATTATTTTAGGAATGACTCTGTGCCAATTAAATTATTCCAGTACATTAAACCTGGTTTGGGTAAGTCTATGCTATTTAATCCACAAAACCTAATATTAAACAGCATAAACTGATCCAAACCAGGTTATACATGAAAAATTTGGCCAAGAATTAGAGTCATTCCTTATATACATAATCATTATACAACTTACTTCATTTAATTTAAAACAAAAATTATATAAATCAAAACTTCAAACTGATTCATCTATAGAATATCATACAAGCAGAATTTTTAGTAAGGAGTTAATTTTGGCATTATCAGCGAGGGTGCTGAGATCGCTAAAATTGAATATCCATGTATTAGAAATTAATTGTGTTTTAGTTGTACACGTAATTGCTTTTTAGTGAGCTTTTTAATATTGCTGAAATTACTTCTCCCTAAAAATAAAATACTAGAAGCCATTTTTAAGGACAAATCACTAAATTTGTGTCTCGCTTAAATGTTACACTTATATCAGTTATATGGTATTTTGTATCTTTTGCCTATGATACCTTTGAGAGCAAAAGCCTCCTTGATAGACGTTGGGACTCCTAGGAATGGAGCATTTTGTGTAGAGTATTTTTCAGACCTTATTTTACTGTCAAGTATCCTGTCCACACTTTTAGCTTCCTGCAATGCTTCTTGAAATCTGTCTGCCACAATGAAGTTACAGTCTTTATTCACTAGTTTAGCTCTCTCTATATAAGCCTGCATGACTTCCTCTGCAGTGACCTAAAATCAAATATCAGAATACAGTAGAATATGGATGTAGTGAATAGTCTCATATTGAATTCTTCCTTACAGTGAAGTTCAAAAACATATTAATTAATAATAATGACAAATTAAATATTTATGTTTATAATACATAGTTCAGTCCTGACACTTGCTATAAGTATGTTTTACTCTACTTAAATTTTTTTAGATGGATTGCTCAAAGGCTTGTTAAATGTATATATGTAAATTGATGCAGCTAATGTATCAATTTACGTGTCACTTAAATACAGTTTAACCATGGGATGTTGAAACCCCAGTATACTGAAATACCAGAAATCTTTTAATTATAAGTTAACTGTCCAACAAATAATTAATTCAAATTTTAAATCTTAGATTATGCATTGCACCCATGTGTTTCTTTTTGCAGTATACATGTGATATTAATCGGAGCTCTTCTTCGCGCATTCTTAAAATTTGTTCATTGACTGTCTGATAGCTAATTAGTAAAAACCCAAATGACATATAGATGACAACAGGTAACTAAGATGTTCCCCTGATACATATTTAGATACTGTAGATCACTTAATTTTCGCGACACCTTATTTTCGCGAGATAGTCATTGACTCTTTATTAGCGACTGAGACAAAATTTTCACGAATTGTCGTCATATATAATCTTAAGGAATTCTATTATACGCGAGAATGAAATTTTTCGCGAGCACACCGCCTCGCGTAATTACACGAAAATAAAGTTCTTGCGAATATAAAGTGATTTACAGTAACTTATCTGAAAGAAACAGAGGGTTCAACTGTAAAATCATTATGTAATTATTATCATCATGATATTTAGCATGCTACATAACCACTGTTTCCTGATACAATAACCTTCGTGTATATGCTTCATATTGCATGTAGCATGATTAGATTTCAATTCTTTTAATTATCTCTTGCTGCTAGCAGTCATTCTTTACGACTAAAAGTTCATATGTATTTAAATAATGATTCAACAGTACTCTAAAATTTAGCACAAATATAACACTGACACCCACATACAGTCCTAGACTGCTCATTGTTAGCCAATGCTGGGTACTTCTAGGGTAAGATGTGAGTCATCTAGGAGATATCTCTTATTTTATTATCGACATCAAAGATCAACGTTTCGAAAGTTCATGCAATAATTACCTCCCTTGACCTGATCTTGGCTGCTAAATCTACAGCTGTCATTAGACATAGTGGGTTCTCTATGGGGTCCACACATTTTGATTTGGACTTGTAGATCAGGCTAAATATCAGTCTAATAATGGGACAAACGATCCACCCCTCTAAAGTCAGCGTGGCGTACTGCACAGAATGAAGCAGGTGGGAAACCTTCATCTATAAACAGCAAAAATCAGAGATTTTATTGATATAATTGATATTTCTTCTAATAATTTTGATAAGAGTCAGGTAAAATAGGTAGTTTCTTTCAAACTGACCTGTTTTTTAATTGATATCCGAAATGGTACCAGGGGATCATGAATCAATGCTAAATATCACAAATATGTTTCATGATCCCAACCCATACAATAGTACATCCAATACAGTGTTTAACTTTAACTATGCTTTACAAATTAAAGGAACTCACCCGACTACAGCATTAAGGCCAACTAATGCTCAAATCAATTAATATAAGCTACATAGGCAATTTAGCCACATATGATCCACATATGCATTGCCTTTCATATGAGGATCATATGTGGATCATATGTGAATCATATGTAAATACAGTCATATGAGAATCATATGTGGCTAAGTTGCCTGTGTAGCTCACTATAAACATACTCAATTTTACATATTAATAAAAAAAACTATAAACCTAGTCAATGATGCCACAATCTTGTCAATGAGTTGGTGTAACTTGAATATGCATATATATACATGTAAGTGTGTCAAAAGTTTTTAGTTTTTCCAACACTCAGATGGGTTAGCTGGTTTCACATCACATGTATTTTGCAATTTGTTGAGATTATGCACTTACAAATTTCATGTACAAATTAAACATAATGGACTTTAAACCTACATGTATATCCCCATGAACTGCATTAAAATTCCTGTGTAAAGCTCTAAGGTTTAAAATTCAAGTACAAATAAAAATTATATCAATTATTACTAATCTGATGAGTAACTATATTCAAATGGCATTAACAATTAGAAACAATGTGTTTATTCTAAAAATCTACTATCATAAATACAAAAAAAGCATCCCCCTCCCCCCCAAAAAAAAACAAACAAAAGAGAAAAATATTGCAACTTACAGTTATTTTCCCTAATTTGCTGATAAAAACTAGAGGTCAAGCATGTACGTACAGGATAAAACCAATCAATATTACTATGACTTCTTTATAATTAAGGAAGGAAGTCGAGTTTTACAAAAGCCAATTGTTTCTTAAAAACCGTAAATTCATTATAAAAATTGAAATATATTTAGAATTTTCAAATAAAATGACATAAATGGAAATTAAGGACATATGTGAACTAAAATATAATTTCCAAATTCCAAGCCCTAGGATGTTATAAATAACATAATGTATCTGTGTTAAATGTGAATGAAATTTACTATTTAGATCAAAATTCAGGATGTAAATTTCATATTTTACTTAGGTAAGACTATACTTGGTATAGATAAACAAAAGGTAGGGAATATATACATCATATACATATAACTCTTATCTCTTACAATTCTCATTAAAAACAGTCACTCATAAGCTGACAGCATATATTCAGATATACTTTTTTAAATTATTCATTGGAACCCGGGCTTCTTGTATGAAACAATAGATAGTAATTTAAAAGTGTTGACAATTAAATTTGGGGGAAAAAATGTTAAAATGTGGTACTAAAGAGATTATCATCTAAAAGTATATCATTGTAATGATTTACCATACCTAATTAATATCATTTATATGATAATACAAGTACACAACTTTTGAACACATTGAATGATGATCGAGTATTTGTTTGTGTTTGTTTGTATGTTGTTTTAAACATCCCTTTGAGAATTTTTCACTCATCTGGAGATGCCATCAATTGCTGGTGGAAATGAAGCTGCAAATTTTGACCTATGATTGGCACTCATGCAGGGCCATTGAGCAGTGAGGAATCTTTTTCATGCCAACACCTACTGTGACGCGGGACCTTGATTTATACGGTCTCATCCAAAGGATCGCTCTCCACATTTCACAGTGGGATTCAACCCTGCGATGTACTTACCTCTCAACTCCAGAGCAGACCCTCTAAACACAGTACTGCGCCCTGAAGGCGACAATGAGTCTTTGAACTAATATAGAAAATATGAATTTTTGAATCATTCAACATGAAAATTTTCATTTTTTCATTTTTCATAGGCTTAATTAAGCTTTTTTAACAATTTTATAAACCTTACACAATAAATGTGTCATTTGTAAATTTCGTAAATGAATTTGTGACATTAAATATATACACCCCGTGACCCATATATATACAGATTAATATGTCATTCGTACTTGATGTTGTAAATATTTTTTTTTAATCATTCAACAAGTTTCATTTATATCATAGCCTTGGTTCATTATACATATTTAAATTGCATTGTTATAGGCCTATATATATTGTAAGATGTACATGTGTAACCTATAGCAACATGATTAATTCATCATAAATTAATTTATTGACTGATTTATGCACAATAGAAATGTTATGTGTACTTCATCATATTCAATTTTCTTCTTACAACTGTGTCCATGCAGTAAATTTTCATGTGACTTGTCACTATGGGGCTTACCATGCTCACAGGTACTTTTGAGTTTGACCTTTGCCTTCAAGTTCTGTTTGAAGTAGGTCTCATGTTTAACTCTCAGTCCGTGAATCATATTGCGAGAAACATAGACAACACAACTTCTCTGTCATGTCAAAAGTAAAAAAAAAAACTTGAGTAAAAAACAAGAATATAAAGAATACCCATACAATTTGTTTTTCTCGTAGTCTTACCTGCTATTTGTCTATGCACACGCCCCGAACAAACTGAAAGTAGAATTGTTAATCACGTGATAAGCTTTGACCAATCAAACGCTCTCTCTTAGGGAATTCCCCCTTTGGATATTCCCTCAACGTTCCTTGATTTTGTCAATAATGGAGCAGGCGTAATTTCCGTAAGAGGTAAAAATGTTCGTAAAATTTTATTTCCAGTTGAATAATGACTTTAAAATAAGATTAGAAATTAGTGTCCAAGCTCTTTTCGGATAAAACTTATCCAGGAAAGAACATTTATTTGGATACACGGGCATTTTAAAATAGAAACACGTAAGATAGTGTATTTATCGAGGAAACGTTCTTATATTGATTTCGAATAGTTTAAAGGTCCATTTTAAAGGTCTATCGAAGAAACAGTAAGATTCTTTGTTACTCTGATTGACTTTATTTAGACTGTAGTAAAGGTTAGTCATAAGGTGTAGTCAGGGAACGAAAATCCTGGTTATTGCTCACATAATTCCTCAGTATAGACAGGAATTATAATATTGCACAAACTCACTGTAGTGGTATGACTTGTGTGTATATATAGTTAGCTTAGTTTTGTATACTTTTGGTTATTTCAAGTGTTTTAATGACATCAGCTATTTCAAATTTCACAATTGAATTTTTGTTAATCTTTACTTTAAATTTCTTTCCGTCCTGTCAAGTATATACTATTTTTAAAGGATTGAATAATTAATCCAGGGAATATTGTCAGACAGTCTTCAACATGAGCATATGTATTTTTTCTTTTTCTGAATTACAAGCAGAATATAAATCACAAACAGTATGTGGTCTAGATCAGTTCACAAATGTTCATAAGTTGGATTTCTTCGGTCAATCAGTAACAGAAAGTTTTCAGAAAAGGGCAAAAAAAAAAAAAAAAATCTTTAAAAAAGTTTGTGTCTTTGAAAAATTAATGTAAAAAAAGAAATAGAAATTAAGTACACTCTACCATATGATTATTTTTATATTTTCAAATTACCTATAAATTTTTCATAGGGGCATGAATTGTCATGATATTTTTACTAATTAAAAGAGACTATCTTCTGATTCCAAAGGCAGTGATAGCCAGATTAAGTATTTATTTTTTCTGATTCCGATTAAGTTTAATTCTTGCATGTTATTGCTTTTTCAGATCATGAACACTCCACCATTCAAGCGTAAATTTTCTGACAGTTCTCCATATAAGGTACAACAGCTACTGGAACAGGTGAAAAAAGATGTAGCTGGATCAAATCAAGAACAGGGGAAACCATTCTGTTTCAAGACATTTCATTTCTTCACTGCCCTGTTGCCATGCCTCAAACAAGTAAATGAAGAGTTCAAACATTTCTACAATGTGAGCGTCCTTGACCTCGATGTAAAGGATGATCTTCAGAGGTCGAAGGTCATCAATTGGTGCAGAACAGCAAAAGTTTTATATCCTGTGAAAGCAAGAGGTAAATATTTAGCTAACTCTGTCGAGTTTTATGTATAGATTGATAAATGATCATGATGATGTAAATATGGAAACAATATCAATTTTATTAAAGTGCATTTGTATTTGATACAGATGTTAAATGTTAAAATGCAAATGACATTCATTAAAATTACCATTTATCATATTATTTTGGACCTGCAACATTTTACTTAGTTAGAAATTATAATAATTAATGATGCATACTTTATGTATGATAATAATTAATGAATTTCATAATTGACAAGTGAAATATACATTGGAATTCATTGCATAGCATCCAAATAGTATTGGTATAAGATAATAAAATTTCAAATCCTTTGTTTAATTTGTAGCTGATGGAAACTGTCTCCTGCATGCAGTGTCTCTTTTCCTTTGGGGGGTGGAGGACAGGGATTTGATGTTACGCAGACTTGTATATCTCTCTCTTGCCAACGACACAACAGAAAAGTTCTACAAGAGGTGGCTGATACATCAGAGAAATGTGGCCTTCGATCGACCCAATGAGTTTAACCCCAATATGAACTCAATGGTAATTATAAATGTTTGAGCTGTACTGAATTTCTGTACATTTTTTCAAGCTTCAAGTAAAATTGAACACTCAAGTACAAGGATGACAAGAAAGTTTGAATTTTTTTGAATTGTGTTTTACAGGATATGAAAGCAGAGTGGGAAAATATTATAAAAGCAGCAGAAGACATTCCTTTAGATACATCTACTGCATTGAATTTCCAGTCCTTGGAAGGAATTCACTTGTATGTACTAGCCAACATTTTAAAGAGACCAATAATAGTTTTAGCAGACAGGAGTGCTCGTTCAGTTTATGGTCAGAGCATGCAGAGAGATAATATTGGAGGGATTTACCTACCTTTAGAGTGGCAGCCATCAGACACCTGCAAGTCTCCAATAACGATATCTTACAGCATGACTCACTTCTCACCTCTCCTTCCTCAAAGAACAGTGCATGATGGGAGAGCCACAGACTCAGAATATGTTATTCCATTAGTGTATCATGACTTTGAACCTATTGTGCTAAGATTTTTACTTTATACTGAAGAAAAGTTGGGATATGATTTGCTCAATGGATATTTAGACACTAAAAACATTCCCATGACCACTGCAGATTCCATTCTTCAAATTCCTGTGGCAAAGTCCAACTATCATATAATCAGCAAGCCAGAGTATGACATTGTGAAGAGTCATTTTGAAGAATGTCAACAAATCTATCAAATGTGGATTAGGGGAACACAGGTTTCTGTTAGTCAGCCTCAGATGAACTTTCAATTGAACAATGAGCCTATCAGAGTTTCTAGTCAAAATTCTGCTCCACAGAGGGCTATTGGTCAACCTAACCCAACCCCCAAATGCCACACTCCAGGATGTGACCTTTATGGTTCCCCTGATTATGGTGGAATGTGCTCAGACTGCTTCAATAAATATACAATAGAATTTAATAGAAAAGAGACAGAGAATCAAAAACACTTCATTGTGGAGCCTTCAGCCCCACTGGCTTCAATGCCATTTCTTCCAAGTGGGAATTTTTGTGAAATTTCGATAATGAATGAAAATTGCAAAAACTTTGGTAAATGTGGGAATAAAATGTCTGTGCATAAGTATCCATTCTGTCATGAGTGCAAGCCTGATGTCACACCCACTGGCCACCCGATCAGTCAGGAAATGAGCTCCTCTCCTCCGCGGGCCGTGAAAAATGAACCTGTGGATGACAGCAGACTCTTTGGAGAAGGAGAATTTAGATCATTAAATCTAAAAGTGATGGAAGCAAATAGAACTGGCCCAAAATCTCCTCGAAATGCTAAGTGCTTGTCACCAAGCTGTGAAAATCTTGGCCATCAGAACTACAGTTATTTATGTAAAGAGTGTTTTTCCAAACACCACACTCCCACTCCCATGTCCACAAGTGGCCAGGAGGGTCCGTCTTCACAGACCTACTTGATGAATGCCTCAGGCGGAGGTCCTTCTACTGGAACCCCCTCCCCAGGGGACTCCAGCATTCAGCTCTTTCAAAGTGGAGGAAATATGCTTAGTCTGGAAGAAATTAAGATGTTAGGGAAATGCAAAACTCAAGGATGTAAAAATTATGGACATGCACACTTGCTTGGATTTTGTGACACTTGTTTCAATTTAAAAAAGCCCTCTGAATCTTTAATGACTTCTGGATCATGCTCAACATCGTGCAGTTCTCTCAGTGACAAAGTTTTGTGCTCAGCACCAGGATGTGAAAAAGAAAGAATTAGAAATGAATATGGATTGTGTCTGCAGTGTTTCATTAAAAATAAACGACCAGCGGAGGTTAGCAAAGAGCCAGTACCTCCCCCAGACAGCAGCACATTAGAATCCAAAACCCCGCTGGAGACCAGTGAAATTCCTCAGCCTCGCATTGTGACCAGTTCCAGGGACAAGGTTAAATGTGCCTCACCCCTCTGTGATGCCCTTATTTATCCTCCCAAGCAACTGTGTGACAGATGTATGGGCATCCTTCAAAGAGAACATGCAGAAAGCACTAGGTCAAGGTCACTGGAGGTCAGACGACATAAACCAGGTAGTGTATTGTTTTTAATATGTATTTATTTCTAGTAACTGAAATAACAGGTTTCATTACACGTGTTTTTTTTCTGGAGAGAAATCTTGTTCACATTTAACATTTTATATAATAAATCAACAACACCCTGATGTTAAGCTTTGATTGGTTTCTCCTTAGCAAATCAGCTGTTTTTATGCCTTAATTATCATCTTGTTAAGAATGTTTTGCAAGTATGCTCTTGTTAATTTAACCTAAATGGCTGCGTTTATTTTCTGGCTGGATATTTGTAACTTCCTGGTTTTAGATAATGTGAAATCGATTGCATGACAAAATGTGACAGATGACATTTTCTGTTATTCGCTATCTTTTGTGTGCCCATATTTTGCATTTCTTTTATGTTTTTAGATAAATTTTTGACAAATTTGGTGTTTATTTTCCTGACGCTTTTGTTACAATGTCATTCAATCAGTGTTTAAAACTTCCATTATGATTAAGATTAAATTTATATAGAATTTAAATTGTCTACAGGTGTAATCATGTTAACATGGCTAAGAGGAAAACATTTACAGCACATAAATATTTAATATTTAATATTATACATAATGCACAAAAAAATATATTTTATAACATATAATTTAATTTTCCAGTAATCTTCTAACATTTACTAACTTTCTCTCAATTTTTGTGTCTCTGGTCTTGATTGTAGCTAGGCAAGGAAACGCGTATTCTCCCTCCCGCCAAAAATGTCTGACTGAAAACTGTGAATTCTATGGAGACAAAAAATTCCACGGTTACTGCTCTAACTGTTACCAAGGTAACTAATTAATAGGTGAAAACAAGATCTTCTCAGGTTTAATGCAGCTTTAGTTACGTCATATCTCATACTCACTCATTAGTTTGTCTTGTTCGTTTCATAATTAGAATTTATTTTGAATACTTGATAATAAAAAAAAAGCAAAAAAAAAACTCCTTCCCTGTTGAGGAAAAATATCCCCTTTTCAGGGTTTATTTATAAGCTACTGAAATACTGCACAGGAGTTTTGATTAATCACTTCCTACATTTATAATCTCATATATATAGTTTAACGCCCAACTTGGAAGTCATGAATGAAATAAAAGAAATGAATTAATCGTGTATAAAAATGGCCTGAGAATTAATTCTGTATAAGACTATAGAAGGAATTTATGTAAAATAGTGAAGTATTTGATCCGTAGAGTGACAAACCCGGTTGTGTGTTAAATCATGTTAATGCAGTGTGGTTAAAGGTGTCAGTTTTGTGTCAGTGAATTGTCAGGTTTGTCATTAGGCAAGGTTTCACCTGTCATTCTTATAACTTCCTGATTACTGGAGCTTTAATTTGGATCTATGGCACTGTTTGTTCTGAATAATGAGGCTTTAGTACGCCTATTGTTACAGATTTATCTTTATTGATTTTTGTTGAGAGATGACATCAGTTGGTCTTTGTGGATGATGTGGTATTAGAATGTATAAAATAAGCACTGCTCTATCAATTATGCACCCTGCTTCCTCATTTAAAAAAAAAAAAACTTGATCACATTGTATGCACCTTGATTTGACATTTGAGTATTAAATATCAAATATTTATAGAATGCAAAAATAAATAAACTTCTAATTTTGTACAAGGAAGATGATGCCTGTTACCAATACATCATTGGAATAGTAGACCATTTGGATGGATCAATAAAAAATGTGTTGTTTTCTATTTTTAGTTGCAACCTTTTCCTCCCCGTTGAGAATCAATCTACCAGTGGTAACCCCAAGACAGAGCAACACTGCCCCACATCTTCGCCCAGGAGTCAACTGTGTGGAACCAGGATGTGACAAATTTGGTGACCCCTCCATGAGTTACCGCTGCACCGAACACTACAGACAAGCTATTTTTAGAGCCCCACCCCCACGTACCTCCCCTTACCCCCTCCCAGCAGAGGTAGAACAGTACAATGTTGCAGAAAAAGACAGAGGTCCCCCCATCCACACTCAGTTGCCCCAACCCTTTAGCCCCCAGCAATATAACATTCCTGTGACTTCTAGTGGGGCAACAAGAATGGAGAATTCTCAATATATTCAAACCATGGAAAAAGTGGAGGGGTCTAGAAAAGGGCAAAAATGTAAAACACTCTCATGTAACAATTACGGCAACTCGAGTAAGCAAGGGTATTGTAATGCATGCTATAGAGAAAGGACTAACATGGGCTCAGGCCGCCATAGTGACCAGGGGGAATATACTTGTTGTTAAGAATAAAAATCTGTGAAAAAATGTAAATTACAACTACTGAACTGATAAAAAAGTTATCGTTCATTTAGCTTAATTGTTTGTTTTAATGATACTCTGTAGAATAATTTTCATAATTTTTTTCAGTCATTTAGGGGTTATATGAGACTGAATTCTAAACATCTGAAATTAAAATAAATGATTTCCATAAAGTTTTAGTATGTATGTTGCAATTGTCATATTTTAAACTCTGTCATAAAATTATGAAATATGGAAGTAATTCTGGAATTTCAGGTTTATAAAAGGACTGATAAATGTACATTTAAGGAAAATATTTGTTAGAAATTGAAATTCCATCCTGCTTCTCAAAATATTAATACTACTGCTTGCGTACTTCAAGAGTACATGACACTGTATACATCGGTCATCTATCAAGAAAACCAGGGAGATAGCTAGATATAATTATTTAGTGTTTTACAAATTGATCATACATGTAACTAAAAATGATTGAATATTGTATAATTTATGAATGTGTTGTGGATGTGTATTTAATGTTAATATTTATTTAAATACTAGGACAATCATTGGAATTTTATTATATTTACTAGGTATTTTTCGTTATTTGGGAAAAACAGCCAATTTTAATTTTTTATTAGTGTGTACATTAATAAAAATGATGTGCATTTAATTGAATATAGTTGTAAACTATCTAAAAATGTTTTTGAATTTGTTTTTCCTTGTCATTTACATACTTTTGATGTAATTTAATTATTTTTTAATCAAGATGAGCAGAAGATTTTTTCATACTATTTCATATATTTATTTAAATACATAGACTCCCCTTCCCCCCTTCCATAAAGTTGATAAATTATTTCATGAGTATTTACATGCATGTATTTTCTTTCACCAGTATTTGTATTATTAATTTTTGATTGTTAAGTTTCCCTTATCTGAAATGACATTAAAATTTATGTCAGTGAAATTATTGGTTTATTGTGTAATATTATTGTGTAATATTTCATTTTTTTTCTTTTTATGTTAAAAATGAAAATTATATTAATGTGAATGTTATGAAATGATTAAAAATTAGTATTAAAGTTTCAGAAATTTTTTTTAATGAAAAGATTAAGTGTTAATTGTAAAAATCAACTCAGGATACTTCTCTTTATCTGTAAATTTCAAACGAAAGAAAAAAAAATACAGGTCAGTTGATTTTATTGTATTAAACCTTAAAGTTTGGTTAAGCTGTATATTTGGCACATATGTACTAAACATTTAAACTTCCTAGATAGTACTTTACATTATCAATGGTGGACAAAGCTCCAATAATAGGAGGAATTATTTTGCCGATCAGGAAGTTGACAAAAATAAGGACCATGAAGTATATGTATTATATGTATTTAGATGCTTAATTCCTGTAAATCCATTGGTAAAGCATTAAATTAAAATGAAAATTTAATCAAATAAGTAAATGTTAGTAGAATGAAAAGTTGTTCCTCTTTCTAAAAATAAGTTACCTATTTGTATTTTTTTCCAGAAATTACACATCATTTATAAACTTCTCGTTTTTTAATATAATCATGTAAAAGCATCAAATGCATAGATATTATAATTCTTTTAATTTGAAGCAATTTCGAAACATTTGATAATAAAAGGTCCTTTATGGTATATATTAATTTTGTATAACACATTTAACGATAAGAGAGAAAATAACCTGTTAAAAATAAATCAAAACTGTGTACAAAAAGTACAATGAAAAATATTCGTAAGGTATGTATTAACAATTTTCTAACATGGATTCTCAAGTGAAGTTACTATTTATTTATGCCTTTCAAGAAGTTGAATTAATACAACAAAGTTAGTACTATTCCAAAAAAGGTGAAGTTTCCTTCTTATATTCAGAAGCGTTTAGGACTTTGAACTATAGGGCAAATAGCCAAAATATTTTCCCAACGTCTTCCTCTTTCAGAGTTAGAAATTAAGATTTTTTCTTTAAAAATGCTTTATGGGAAACTCGTTTTGCGAGGTCATTCAAGGAAGAACCCAGATTTTCTTTCTCCTGGAGAGGAACAGCTAGAGTATGTGAATTCTTAGAGAGTGAAAATGTAGCCTGTATCTTGTAAATTGATTTTAAAGTTATTTTCATTAATGGAACAGTACAAATCTCGAATGAAAATATCAGAAAATTCTATCTCCTTCATTTAAAAAAAAATGCTTATAATATTAAGCTACAAGATATTGAATTTTTTTAAATCGTCTCTTTGCCTCTGTTTTTGGTCACCTTTGTCATAGACTGTGAATTTATAGTTAAGCCGTTGAGATGTCACAGCTAAGAAACTGTGTGATTGAAGATGTGATATTCTTATGGAGTTCAATAATATTTGACAGTTTTAATCTCTTGACAAGATTATTTTTAATTACCCTGTCTTATAACAAGACGTATTTTTAATCGAAAGTTTTGCAACAATTCTATTATCATATCGTAGTAAAAGTTTTTCAGTGTTGAAAATTTAATAAAGAATGATATTTTACACCTTTCAATTTAGGGAGAAAAAAAAATCACAGTCTAGATGCCGAGCTTTTTATAACAATTTGAGAAGATGGCAGGTCAAATAATTTATATGGATAGAATGGATTAAGTGTTTCAGATGATACAGAAATACTAATTTTTTTTAAAGAAAAACAAAATGCCAAATAACCAGAAAAATCACATAGGCTGATTTTTACCATTTTGCTTTTCCCCATAAAAGGGAGCTTACACGGTCAGTTTAATTTGTATTGGTCCCTGCTGACAAAGCAGGTAACGACATTGTCTTTGTAAGGCTGTTAGGAACTGGAACGTAATACTACTGCTGGTTATTCAACTTGTACCCATTGCTCCCTTTCTAAGGAGGAAATTCTTCAAAATCTTGTGTCAGTTTTGAGTATTTTTAATAATCCAACCAACCAACCTGAATTTGAATTACATTATCTATATTTGATTCCAATTCTTCATAAAAAATCCTTACAAACAAAAATACATATCGAGTTCCAGTAAATGTTCCACCAAGCCTCTTTCCTTTTATCCTTCATTGTGTAATAATATATATTCGAAAATTGGTGTAAATCAGATGTGAATACTCAAAATATCCAAGGAACTTTTGGAAAATTTTGAAATCACAAATTTTTTTTACCAATATAAAGAGCATAAACTCTATATACAACCATTCCCTAAGATATATTTAAGTCCAGACTTTTAGATATTGACAGCTGCTTTAAAAAATAAAAAATAAAAATGGAACTCGTGAATTTACTAACATTGTTACTGGTCATTTGCAAAATTATTTTGTTAAAAAAATTCTGATCGTACACACAGTTACTCTGAAATTGATATTAAAATATGATTGGGTTTCTGATTGACAATATCTTTGTGGCTTTTGGAGATCAGGTCTTCGAACAATCTTTTGGAATTCCCGTGGATACAAACTGTGCCCCTTTATTAGCAGACCTAGTTTTGTATTCATATAAAACAGAATTTGTCCAAAAAGAAGAAAACACTTGCTGTGGCGTTCAACTCGGCATTCAGATATATCGATTACATATTGTCAATTAAAGGTACTATCAATATTTTCTATAATATTACATTATATATTTTAATAGTTTAACACAAAAATTAATTTAAAATCTTATTTCATTTAAAAGTTATTAAAACTTCAAATTTTTTGGCGGGTTTGAATACACACTTTCACAAATTTTATATATCCATAGCCAGTGGCAATTTTGTTGTGTATTAATGAGAAATTAAAACTTTTATCCAGAGAAATAATTTTATTCAGAGTAGAAATGTAAGAAAGCAAAACTCCTTCACAAGTATCGTCATTCCGAACTAAGAGTTGCGTACAGAGTTTAGCAAATCGAGCACACTCGTGTTATGTACACAGTTTTTGTAAACAGGGCACGAGTTCTGTTATTCATGTTTTGCGTTCAGTCGTCACAGTCTTTACCACAACTGCACGGACTGACAATATATTGTGTGTTTGTTTTGCTTCGAACATGTCTACTCTGAATTTTCTGGATTAAAGTATTAATATTTTTCATTATATACAAATTTGCCACTTTTACTAATGATTAGGAATAAAATTAATTTGTGAAAGTGCAAAGATGTGTCAATCAAACCCGCCAAAAATTTGAAACTTTAATATCTTTTATATGAAATAAGATTTTTAATTAATTTTTGTGTGAAATGCTATAAAAATATATAAGTCGTAATATTATAGAGAAAATAATAACTTCAAATCTGTGTCCAAGTACCTTTAACAATGGTAATTTCAATGCTTATGTTGATACGATATATCGATACGATATATGGCAGTGAGTTTGAAGTGAAAAAAAGTGTTACATGAAGATATTACAGAGTCTGACACATCTGTTTCATATTTAGATATTTTACTTAAGACGTTAATGTAATCAATGAACCAAGATTTATGATAAACGTGAACGTTCTCAATCGTCAACTTCCCTTTCTTATACAGCAAAATACATGTACCTTCATCACACGCATACAGGGTTTATATTTCTCAATTGATTTGATACGTTTTGATACGCAAGAGTATGCTCTACGTATAAATAGTCTCATTTAAATTCAAAGATATGATTTATTATTAAATTTAAGTGCTGATTGAAGTTTTTCATCCTAATTGTTTGGTCATTATTTAAACACCGAATTGTCGACAGATTTTCCTGTTGTTTCCAGATCATGACAAGGAGCACACGTCGGGTTGAAATGGTCGGCAGGGGATGCTCACTCCGCCATGGCACCTGATCACACCTCTGATGTTTGGAGGTCCGTGCATGCTCTGCTCCAATTTGGTATTATTTAATGGACTTCTGAGCTTTAGTATTATTTGTTATCTTTATATATTTCAATTCAAAGTTAGAGTACCAAATGCGAAGAATGCATCAGCATATTTGTTATTAATACCCTGTGTTATTTAAAAAAAATCTTGATAATTAGAGCATTCTCATGAGAATCAAATAAAACGTGAAGGCATAAAAAACGTATGCAATCATTATATCAACTTCTTCAATAAG